TGTACATACAATGTATATCGTGAAAATACCAAGGATGTGGCTACTAGGCGCATGGTACCTATGGAAACTGATAGTCCACTTGCAGCAGTACCAGACGTACTAACACATGACACATGACAACGATTTCATAGCGCACAGATATAACAAGTGTTACTGGAATAAATTCATTATATCACTCGAGACTAAATCAATAAAGACTAAAAAATTATACCCTTTAGTATAGCAGTGTCAGGTTTACACTGTAACACTTTTACATCTTAAGATATGATGCACAGTCCTAAGGTTGGATATGAAGTAAATATGTCTTTGTAAAATAAATACCTCTCTAGACATTTTGCATACATAATATTCAAACCAGTGTAAATATGTACAAAAATGTTGCACGTTGTATATGCCGATTTCTTTTTTTTTATCGGTTTAATTTTGTAATTGTCAACTTTACTTACTTTTTATTTGATTAAGAAACCTCGACGACGCCTTTAGAAACAGTGTTGGCTGCTCGATGCTTTTTTGGATTTTACTTTACCGTAGGTTGCTGCTTCATAGTAATGTACCGTATTATTTCATCGTTAGTTTAATTTTACATTAGAAAATTACCTTTGAAACTATTTTATTTTTAAAAAAATCGCAGGTTATGCAATAAGTATTAAAATGAAGTCATAAATCTATGAAATATTCAACACACATCTATACATGTATACATAATTTTAGTAAATCTGTCCAGAGAGTACCGTCACCTTTATAATTAGCTGTAATAAACTCAAAAATATAAGACATTGAATCAACCACCTGGTTTTTTACCCAGTATACGTCGAAATTATTTCAAAATGAATACACAGATACCAAGAAGAAATTTAAGTCTGGCCATTTTCCCATTTATTTTAATAAATGCTAAAGCTACCCTATTTCGGTGGATACAACACATTCCTTATTGCTCATTACATTCCGTAGGACATATTTACATTATTATGCAGATAACCGATAAATATTATAACCAGTCAGATTTTCACAGTATTTGTTTGAACTTATCAATGGATAACCTCTTGTTACTGTCTTTGTTACACCTTTAGTCAATATAATCAAGCTTGTTATCATTTCTAGATAATTATTATCATTAAAAGTATCACATCGAAAGGTTGACTGGGGTATACAAATATAGTCACATTGGTATTCTTCCGACCAGCAATATAAAAACGTTGCCAAAGTGGACGTCCGTTTGGCTGTGGAAAAATATTTAGCCACGTCCGGTCGGAATATGGACGTTAAATCCGATGCCTCGTGAAGAGAGGGTGTCAAGTTCTCTGCACGTGAAGAAAGCCTTGCAACATTTCTTTGAGGCTCCTTAGGTGGCCAGTTTCAGGGCTAAATCTCTGCCCCGTATCCAACATACTTTCGTTTCTAGTAGCAGTAAAAATGTTCCGCCTTTTATCCCGAGTGGCCTTCCTTGCAGAACCTAACTCTTATATTAATTGTTAACGGTTTCCAGTCCAGAATTTCCATGAAATTATTGTCACTGGACATTAAACAAGCAACAATTAATCCATCTATCAAAGTGTCACATTAAAATACATTTAATTAAGGATGTATTCTTCTGACGTTTCAGTCTCGTTGAAATCTTGTTCTGGAATTATTTCCAAAACATGTGATACAAGTGGAAAATATCAATGAATTAAAAAAACATTATAATCAAACTTTACTCTGTGAAAAAATTGTGTATTAACAATAAGTAGTTTTTGAGTAATAAAGTTTTCAAATTTTATTACCAATCAAGTCAGTCTCATTAGACAAAATGTTGAGAAAATGGGTGAGGGGTACAAGAAATGATTTTACCAGAAACGTGTACATCCCATATCAATTTTTCTTTTCAAATTTCTTAGATATGTATTTTTTCAATCATTTATAACAAGGAAGTTGAAATAATATGCTTTTTGTTCTAAAAAAGAGAAGAATCCCAAACTTGCAAAATTGACAGCATGATAAATTTGACACGAAAAAGCAACAAAATTTTATAAAACTTTCTTATATTAACACCTACCTATAGTTTTTTGTGTTGAATTTATTCAGATTGGTCCACTTCATCTTTATTGAAAGTATGAAAAAAAGTTTAATTGTGAAACTGTGATTTTTTTCATGATAATAGCTCAAAAATGGGTAAAAATTGATGAAAAATGGGAAAATCATCAGAATTGGGTACTTTCAAATGGCCGTAGCAAAAGAAGAAGTGATCCAACATATGATTTTTTCTTCAATTATTTTTTTACAGTTATATAAACCCAAAAATCAGGTTAAGAAAAAAGTTTAATTCTAGAAATTTTGGCTCCTCAGAGGTGTACATCCTTAAGCAAGGTTTACACTCACTAATATAGTTGACCTTGATGGTTCTTTACTCTTTTGTTTTTTTGCTGCTATGTTGATTTACCTACTTTAGGCTATAATTATGATTCCGATTGATGTGAGATAAATGATACATTAAACTGATGAAATCAAAAGAATCTAAAGAAAATGTTAAATTTGAATTAGGAGAAATATGGCTCAACAGTATAAAGAAACAGGGAAAATTGTGTTAAATGGTATTTTTACGTGTGACTAAAAATGATAAATACGCGATTTTCAATAAAGTGATACTAGAAAAACGACGGCGTTACAAGGATTACCAGAAAGTAAAGATCCAAATGACAAAAAGTAAGCGAAACAAAACACTTTTGAATCCAAGTAGGACCTTATATTCTATATTTTGTCAGGTAATTTTTTTTATATCTTTATCATTTTTTTATAACTAAAAATAAAACTAATCATGAGACCTGGAAAAAGTACAGATGAATATTTATGACATCAACTATCATGCACATAGTTAGTTTATCATGTTTATAGATACTATTATGATTTCCGTGTGTAAAACGGTTAAATCATCTATATATATTGTTTTATCAAATTTTACACCTAGATTAAATATTGTGCATTTTGATAATTTTATCTTCTCATTGCACTCTATTTCAGTTTTGTTCATATATATATATAGATCAATTATTGTTTTGTATCATACGACCATTTGTACATGTACATTTGTATGCCATGTATTTTTCATAGTTCTTTAGCCTAGAATTATTTGCATTGCTCTCAATATTCATAGAAGGACTGACGAAGACGGATGATTCTTTGGTTATTTAATGATCTATATATCTATGCAATGTAGTTTAAGACCAAAGTATATATAATGTCCGTATCGCTTTAAAAAAGTATCATGTCGAATAGTCTTTGAAAAGAAATGTGAAAAAATACAAAAGAAACTAATATACAATCTTAAATCAGATACAGAAAACGAAAAAGAAATAAAACAGGATCACAAAATGACATGCCCCTGGATTAAGATAGATAAAATATGGGATTAAACATAGTATTTTAAATACAAAAAAATGTATTTTGTTCTTGCAGTCCTTGCACTGACTGTCTAATTCAAATATCAAGCAGGTGTGATAACTGTTTGAGTTGTGGGTAAACGCCACTGAGACAACCCAAAACGACACAACTATATCCAAAAGATTTTAAGTGTGTTTCAAACTGTGAATTGTTTCACAAACCAGGGTTATCATATAGGAATGTCAGTCTAAAATATTTAACTCTGTTTCATTCATAAATGCTGGATCATGTTGATTTATTTCAAGGTAAATGTACACCAATAGCCTATGTACATTTCGTACACGCATCAAGTTGACATTCAAATAGGACAATAACAGTTTACACTGAAATTGACATTATCAATGTTCAAATATAATAACTTATTTGAAATTTGAAATACATCCTATATACAAAGCACAAAAATGTCGTCATTCACCTCAAAAGCTAACCAAACCTTTAAACAGACTTATTCAGAAGGGATATAGTTACGATACTGTTGACGGGTCATTAAAGATGGCCTATTTTGGTATTAATATTGATTTACTCATAGGGTCTTTGCATCGGAAATAAACACATTTATTCTCAAACCAGTTGTTGGCATGATACGGGTTATGTTCTTCTCATATATTTTATGATGGTATGATACTAAACCCCTAACGGGAGGGATTGTGCTTGATTTGCATATGATGAATACATAATCTTTCAATCAGTTTAATTGAGGTCTGGAGCTGGCATGTCAGTAACTGCTAGTAGTCCTTTGTTAATTTATGTATCATTGTCATTTTGCTTAGTTTCTTCTGTTACATATTCTGACATCGGACTCGGACTTCTTTTAAACTGAGTTTTACTGTGCGTATTGCTGTGTGTTTGTTTAATCTACATTGGCTAGAGGTATAGGGGGAGGGTTGAGATCTCACAAAACATGTTTAACCCCGCCGCATTTTTGCGCCTATCCCAAGTCAGGAGCCTCTGGCCTTTGTTAGTCTTAAATTTTCTTTTTTAAATTTTAGTTCATTTATATGTTTCGGAGTTTAGTGTGACGTCCATTTTCACTGAACTTGTACACATTTATTGTTTAGGGGCCAGCTGAAGCCCGCCTCTGGGTGCGGGATTTTCTCGCTGTGTTGACCCATTGGTGGCCTTGAGCTGTTTTCTGCTCTTTAGTCGGGTTGTTGTCTCTTTGACACATTCCCCATTTCCATTCTCAATTCTATTAGATATTCGTAAAAAGATTATCTGTGGGGTATATAAAAATAAGACGATGTTGTGTGATTGCCAATGAGACAACTCTCCCCAGAGTGATAGCTGGCGCAAAGCCCTCTAGGAATTCATTTATGCACGGGGATATTAAGTTCATCTCCGATTGGAACATCAAGGAACATGAACATTTAAAAAGATTTGTTCATTGTGATACATGTATTCATATATTTATTATCACTTATGTTCAAACGAAAACATGGACACTTTTTTGCAGAAGTAATTATTTTAGGTCAGTGCGTTCCATAAAGCGACTATTTTTGTACTTTGTTCTTTCTAGTCATATTAACAAATAAATAGATGATATGAATTAGATACTGACCAAATGATAGAGAGAACGATTCATGTAATCTTTCAAAGTTTATTAACAGTAAATAAGCGATAACAGAAGAGGAAGCGTCCACACAAAATACGGTTATCTTAAGAAATTGTAAATAGATTTATGAATTAATTTAATAGTAAAACTTACCAAGGTAATAATATAAAGCTTTGGTAATAATAATTTTTATTGTAATAAAAGCACGAAAAGCGTCTTTATTACACGCGCTTGTGCCGGTTACTTAAATTGGAAAAAAAGAAAATCGATAACAGTATATCTTAAAAAGGTTATCCTCTTCAACAGTCTTGAAAGCATTCAGGTGTCTGCAATATAAAAAGGCAATAACAAATAAATAATTATGAAACACATTTGGGATAGTACATACATATATACTTTGTCTGTGAACCCAAAAGGAGTTTCAGACAAATTTACCTTTCAAGTTCGTTGTTTTGAGCTCTCAGTGGTCAAAGTGGGAGCTATAGCTTAGCTATAAAACCAGGTTTAACTCACCATTTTCTTTGGAAAATTCCTGTACCAAATTAGGAATATGACAGTTCGTTCCGTTGGTTGATATAGTCTAACGTATGATTTTGTCAGGTTTTATGGACTTTCCCCTTTTTGAATTTACCATTGAGTTCGATATTTTAATTAATACTTGTTCAATCGTATTCTTCTCAATAACAGCTTATAATACCATAAACAAGTTTTCTTATGTCTCCTGTAGATATCAATGAATTTGAAATTGTAAAAACAAATATACTTCCTTGCTCGTTGTTGCAGTGAATGATAGTTCTTATTTTCATCAGTAAAATACATAAACATTAAAAAAATATACGGACTTTATTACAACAAAATTAATATAAGGATGCAATACATTAATAGGAGTATAGTCTGGTTCTTATCGATTGTCTGATTTTGAAAAAAAAATCACTTCAAAATAGATTAGACACTTTATAAATGTCCTGACTCTGATGCACTTTTTGGGGATTTATCTCACCAGGAACGCTCACACCTAAACATGCGAAAGACAGGGTTCCGTAGATCACTGAAAAGTTAGGAGCTATATGACAATACAAGGATCTAAACAGAATAGCCAAATTCATCTAAAGCTTACTTTGCCTGAGGGAGTTAGCACCTTAGTTTCTTAATAATTTCTTAATTTATAAACTGAAAATTTTAAACAAGTATATGTTATAAATTATGACAGTATCGTAGCACTGACTACTTGGCTGATAATGCCCTGGAGATCAACAGCCCACCAGCAGTGGAATCGACACAGTACTAGTAAATGAAAATATACACTTTATCAATTTTGTAAGTCCGGCGCGCATATCTGGCTTAATCTTTTTCAGAAACGCTCAAACATAAACATCAAAGTGAAATATAATAATTTAACTGCAATTGTGACTGTTAAAATCATTGAAAATTAAAAATCTTCCAAGTATGTATTCAGCTAGAGGTTCCTCGATTTATGAATCCTTCTCCCGACGAAATATACCATACATTTTTTTAATCATATATCTTTATTGTCATATTAACATAATTAGTTTGTGACAAAAACAAAAAAAATAAAAACAAACATAATATAGCAAAGAAATAACACTTCTATATGAAATGATTAAATTTATTATTTATTTCAGGAAACAAAATATTACTTTTTATAAGTAAAGGTTTATGAGTATTTGTGAGAACTCATAGCACATTCATTTTCTTTTATCGGTGACAGGATAACATTATTTTTTTAACGTTAACATCATTATAAACAAGAATATTTATTAAGTCAGATCTAAACCCACTTTTTTTCCAATGCCCGACAACACCTTGAAAATTAAACGGCCATCACCTACACAGTTATAACACGAATAACGACCAATAAAAATGATTTGTAGGTCATAATTCGCTTGTTCGTCAATTTTGCAGTTTACAGTTTCTACGCTATTACTTTTTGAAGAAACTATCCTAAAACACTAACAGCTGAATGGAAACTTATACTATCGTTACATGTTTGTTATACTAGTAGTCTTGAAGACCGTGTTAATTGAGAGAGCAGAATATATATGTAGGACTCTAAAGTGCGATGGTCACGCTAAAGTGCGATGGACTACGCTAAAGTGCGATGGTGCCAGACGCTAAAGTGCGATGGTTGTTTGATTTTTAAAGCGAAATGATATGACACGCCAAAGTGCGATTTTATGACACGCTAAAGTGCGATGGTATAGCAATAAGTTCAGGCAATTGGTTTTTTTTGCTGTGTTCCTATTAATTTCTTTGTTAATTGTTTTTGCCGGATTATAAATCATGCCGTTGTCTTTCTCTTTTCAAATGTTTTCTACTGGTCTTTGTATGGCCCTTTATGACTTGCTATGCGTCGTAGGCTAAGACTCCACGTTGATGGCCGTACAGTTATTAGTTGCAAAATTAACGCCATTTGGTGTTTAATTTGGCGGATAGTTGTCTCATTGACAGTTATACCACATCTTCTTATTTTCATTTACTGAATTACAGCTGTAGGTTTATTGGCTTGAAACAGGTTCATAAAGTTATTAATAGCTACTGCAATGTAATCATTTCACTTTTTTAATGTACGATAGTTGTTAAAAAAGTGAAATGATTACATTGCAGTAGCTAGTATTAACTTTATGAACCTGTTTCAAGCCAATAAACCTACAGCTGTAATTCAGTGGTAGTCGTTTCGTTGTTGCTGTATTTCATATTTGTTTTTCGTTTATTATTTTGTATATAAATCAGGCCATTATTTTTCTCGTTTGAATTGTTTTACACTGGTTGTTTTGAAGCTCTTGTAAACAAAAATTTGCCGAATTAAGTAAACCTCTTCCAGAACCGACCAAAAAATGTTCCGGATTGGGATCATTTAGTTTCTTTTTTTCTTTTTCGCTGTCTAATAAAACCCTGGACAAACATTCTTGTTTTCCGGCATGTAAATGACTTTGTTTGTACAAACGGCGTGTAATTATTCCGTCGGAATGCTTTTAAACTTAGCTTACTTCCTTATTTTCGTAAACAATCGCACTTTCGCTGAAAAACGCATTTTAGCGTATTGAGGCATCGGACTTTAGCGTGTTCCATTGAATAGCACAGACCATCGCACTTTAGCGTAACGAACCATCGCATTTTAGCGTGACCATCGCATTTTAGCGTCCCCATCGCACTTTAGAGTCCTACATATATAATTCGCAAACTAAAATCTAGACACACTTAGTCGACTCGATCGTGTCAAGTTTGGTTTGCTTTTGTTCAGTAAATACAGAGGTGGTGAAGATAACAAAATTGAAAATATTGGTAAAACTATCATTTTACTCTCATAAACAGTTTCTTTCAGTTTAAGGTTAATTTATTTTCCTTGATGATCATTTTAGCTGTTTACATATTCACTTATAAAACGGGGTGTTGTCTGGTTAAAAAACCAAACAGATACAAGCAAAATAAAAAAAAAACAAAACATAAAAAACCGACTATTCATATTAGATGCCATAAGAAATTTATTAGACATTTAAAAGAAAATAAAGTGACAATACCTTACAACTGCAGTCAAATACATTTCCCGCAATCATTCTTTTCCGGCAATCTTTTAATGCTGACGTCCTGCTCCGGAAATTACACAAATGAATCCTAAGTTTACTAGTTCCTTTATCTATACTGCCTGAAACGATATACACATTTTTATATTATATTAAACAATTATAAGTAAACTGTTTATTCATTGGTTTATAACAACATATATTTCTGAGTACTTTTTGACAATATTGATACGATTTCTGTAAGTTTGAAAAACAATATTGAATGATTGATTGAATAAATGTGCTCATAAAACACACTTAATCAATGAACTTATTCGAGGTGGAATAGAAATCTAATATACATCGAAATGTTGAAATAATGGTTATATAATACTACCAGTATGGTATGATAATTGATCGCATGAATTTTATGAAAATTTACCTAAATTTCATTCTTCAAATACCACAAGAAATTTTTCAAACAGTTTGAAAACCCTAAATACCTCCAATGTAATAGTCCTCTCCGTGACTAAGTGGCGCCCGACATATCCCATCATTTCCTGGAGTCCAGATTTTGACTTCTTTACCTTTCGACAAAGCATACGAGGGTTGCTTGAAAAATAAATTAGATAAAAGGAAAGGCAATTACTGATCTACAGTAAGATTACGACAGAAAATGACAAAACGTTAACGAATACGTCAGTCCCGTCTCCTATTTGGTAAATATTCGATACGAAATAGGAATTTAAAACTTAACAGCTATACAATATATATCTGGCTTACCATTTTTATTTTATTTTCTAGCACTGGGCAATACTACTACTTGTGGACTGCTAGTTCCGAAGAGTATCATCAATTCCGTAGTAAGTGCTTCGGTACTAACACGATTCATAAGAAACCTTTAGGCGGATTTGGATATTCCTTTTGGGTTACTTTTGGTCATATAGCTCCTCTCAAATATTTGTGCATCATTCGTTTTCTAAGTTTTGGATTTGTGCGTTCCGGATGAAGTTAAAAGTATAAAACGCATCGGACGCACCAAACCTATAAAATGATATTGTTATATTCCACTAAAGTGCTTATACTCAGTTTAATGTGAGGTATAAGAATCCGGTTTTAAACTAACCAAACTGTCTTATGATGTTGATAAATAGGTATGTCGGTTATGTTTTGACATTATTTAGCAGCTCCCTTTGTTCGGGGTTGGATGGAAATGATAACAACATGAAGATATTGAAATATGCAATTTTGCATACAGACAATCACACGTTATACCTTTCCTATACGTGCTAATAAACTATTGTTATTCTTTTAATTTAATTGATAACATGATAAATTCTTCATTCGTCTTTTTATGGTTTGTTATAAATCATGTCAGTACCGAATTACTGACTACTGAGCTGATGATACCCTCGGGGACTGATAGTCCACCAGTTTTTGGTGTCGACCCAGTGCTGAAAAAAACCCAAGCACTTTATAAATATTTTGCGTCCGAAGCGCTTTTATGGATTTACCTTCATCAGGAATGCTTAAAGACGAATATTTGAAAGCCAATTCAAGGATGTATAAGAACCGAAACAGTTAAAGAGCTATATGACCAAAGGACCTTAATTTTGCGGCGTTTTCCAATATACTGTTAGGAAAATTAAAGCAACTGAACGTTTTAACCCCTAGTTTTTACTTCTTGTTTAAAAAAAAAAAAAAAAAAAAGTTTTTTTTTGGGGGGGGGGGGGGTGCAAATTAGTAGTCTAAGAAAGAGGCTTTTGGTGTATATAAAGGAATAACATCTAGTATACCTTTAAAATGTCCAGAATTTTCACATTATAGTACACATCATCGTTTGACTGGGAGCCCGGTACTGATCTGACGCTTCCTCTTATAACTGAAAAAATAAAGTTCATGTTGAGGAAAAGTTATCAGGAAAATAACACCATTACAAAGATAAATGAAATAGAGGTTTTATTACCGTTTTCACGAACTCGTTATGAGAGTTCATATTTCAAAATCACGGAAATTATATAATGGAGTTTTTAGATTAACTCATTCAGTACCACATATTACCAGTTCAGATGAGGTTAACAAAATCATCATGATATTGATTCTGGTGAGCATTATAATTGATAGCCTTGTTAGATTATATGGTTCAGGGGTGGGGATCTAGACCGTTTACAAGTTTTCCAAAAGAAGGGGGTGGGGGTGACCCCTATGGACTTCCCCTATATTTAATTTGATTTGTTTTATTGCATACAAGAATATATATGGTTTAGGGGTGGGGATCTCATCCGTTTACAAGGTCTCAAACAGGAGGGGGTGGGGTGACCCCAGGGGACTCACCTTTTATTTTTTATTTGATTTGTTTTATTGTCCCATACAAGAATATATATAGTTTCAGGGTGTGGATCTTGACCGTTTACAAGTTTTCTAAAAGAAAGGGGGTGGGGGTGACCCCCATGGACTTCCCCTATATATCATTTGATTTGTTTTATTGTCCCATTCAAGAATATATATGGTTTAGGGGTGGGGATCTCAACGGTTTACAAGTTCTTAAACAGGATGGGGTGGGGTGACCCCAGGGGACTCGCCTTTTATTTCATTAGATTTGTTTTATTGTCCCATACAACAATATATATGGTTTCGGGGAGGGGATCTTGACCATTTACAAGTTTCCAAAAAGAAGGGGGGGGGGTGGGGTGACCCCCATGGACTTCCCCTATATTTCATTTGATTTGTGTTATTGTCCCGTACAAGAATATAGATGGTTTAGGGGTGGGGATCTCGAGCGTTTACAAGTTCTCAAACAGGAGGGGGTGGGGGTGACCCCAGGGGACTCGCCTTTTATTTCATTTGATTTGTTTTGTTGTCACATAGAAGAATATATATGGTTTCAGGGTTTGGATCTTGACTGTTTTCAAGTTATCAAAAAGAAGGAGGGTGGTAGTTACCCAAACGGACTTCCCCTATGTTTCATTTGATTTGTTTTATTGTCCCATAGAGAACGAAAACCAATTTTGGGACATACAGCATACGTACTTACAGACAGACAAGTGTAAAACTTAATGCCCCCTCAACAACAGCGCAGGCATAAAAGTGTGGCAAACTGATTTGCCAAACTGAAGGACAAACAGACAGACAGACAGACAGACACACAGCCTACCAAAAAAGTTTCAAACAATTTATCAATGATATTTCGCCAATAACTCAAATTTATTTCCATGAACCAGTAACAAAACACCAAAATAATTCTCTATAAAATTAGATATGATTTTATATCTATCAATTAAACACATCACTTTTCAAAACAAATAACTCAAACTTATTTACATAAACCAATAAAAAACCAGCAAAATACTTCTCTAAAATCAGATATCATGTTATATTTATTTCCATATTATAATAAAATTTTATTAATAGTTGCTAATATTGTTTCTTTCATGTGTCAAAAAATAATACAGATCTGCAACTTATCTATCAATGTCAAAACCTTTATCTCATAATAAAAATAGATTATTATCTAATTAAAAACAAGTTGAGATTAAGCACTTAAAGAACCCTATATATATATTTAATTTATGTTCAAATATGACACACACAAACTGATTAATTTTCCCAGGGGACCTGCCCTTTATTTCATATGATTTGTTTTTTTGTCCCATACAAGGATATATATGGTTTAGGGGCGGGGATCTCAACCATTTACAAGTTCTTAAACAGGAAGAAGGTGGGAATTACCCCAAGGAACTCACCTTTTATTTCATTTCATTTGTTTTATTGTTACATACAAGAATATATATGGTTTCGCGGTGGGGATCTTGACCATTTACAAATTTTCAAAAAAAAAAGGAGAGTAGGGGTTACCTAAAGGATTTTAAGAGCATTTTGAACTTTAAATTTGTTTTATGTTTCTACTTGTGTGGACGCAGAATTTGATTTTAAGTATATATATATGTATATATATAATTACTCTATATATCACCACAACAATGTTAAATCTGCAAATTTGCGGAAGCAAATTTTTATTCTTCCCTCGCCGGAATTCGAACTCATGCTATTGGGATAATATATAAAGTGTTTAAGTGCCTAGAAAATCAACCTAACAATGTTAGAGTAGATCTGATTCTTTACTTCCTCCCCGACCGGGGCTGGAACCTGTACTTTTCACTTCATACTTCTACGACAACACCGCCTAGCATCGCGCAGATGCCTTATCCCCTCCTTACCATAGCTGATATATTATATCTATATATAAGTGCCTATAAATAGCAACACATAACATACAAATCTATAAGAGTGTGGATTAATCAGTACAGAAATTAATACAATTGCACAAATGAAATTATAAATTGCCTAACAATGTAATTTTAACACTATATATAGTATGTAAATATCAAAATGTTAAAAATATTTACAATGCGATGAAAAATAAACGCAATATTTCGCTAGACAAAAATAGCTTCATCGAGCGTGCATCTATCCCGGTGAAATCGGATGCAGATAAAAAAAACTTTGCAGCTCATTGTACATTAAAGTTTGCTGCCTGATAAATAAATTTAAAATTTGGATGAAGTTCAAGATTACGAAATTTGTAGTTGAAGTTTGCAACTTCCATTGGCCAATATTACAGAGATATAAAGGACGATGCTATATAATTAATGATTCTCTATCTTTCCTGTATCTTTTCTCGTCTTTTTCATTAAGCCCACCAGGTTCGAAAGTATGGAGCTGGTGGACCGAAAAGTTTTCTTTTCTCCTTCTCGCCGTGATGTCCCACTCAGTGTTCAATTCAATAATTTGAAAAGTAACATTATCAAAATGATGTTTCTTTGAGAGAAGATGTCTTGTGAGGGGACAGTTTTTGTTGGTTTTATACCATGATCGATGGTTATTTAGCCGAATATTAAATTTGTCCATTGTTTCTACCACGTATTGAATGCCACAGGTGTTACATGTTAATTCATTAATTGAGTTGTCCGTTTTAAAGTTGGAATTTGTGTAGATGGTATAACTTAGTTTTGTAAAGGAGTTGATGAAAAAACTGCTAGTATTGGCAGCTTTACAACATAAGCAATTCCTTCTCCTGTTGTTTATAGCAACCAGGAGGTGGAGTAGGTTGCTTTGTTAATACAGCTGTCACTCATTTGTCACGGATGATTTTAGGTCTTCTGAAGGCCATGACTGGTGGTGGAGAAAATACTTTTTTCAAATTGGAGTCATTCTCTATAATTTTCCAATGCTTCGAACAAAGGATGACACATTTTTAAAATCAGGATGGTAAGTGAGTACAAGAGGTGTTCTGTTGACTCCTTTAGTCTTATCCTTGTACTCCAGAAGTTCTTGGCGGCTAATTCTGTTTTTTTCGAAAGCTGTATTAATATTGTAGTTATTGTATCCTCGAACAACTAGATGTTTACGTTGTCTAAATCTAGTATTCTGCTTATTTTCAGTTGAGCATATTCACTTGATTCGCAATGTCTTACTGAAAAGGATACCACAGGAGCATTGTTTGTGAAGAGAGAAATTTGTTTGTCTGTTTTCTTCGTATGGAGATCCGTTATCATGGTTCTGTTCTTGATGTAACTCATAGTATTGAGGAAGTTGATTTTCTCCATTGATGGTTCGTGTGTAAATTTAATTGAATGGTGGAAAAAGTTACAGTGTTCTAGAAATTTATTCAGATGGTCTTGTAAATCTGTCCATTTAAAATCAATATCATCAATAAATCGAAACCATGATAATGGCTGGTATTGAGCACTAACCAAGAGGCGTTTTTCAAGTTGGCCCATAAATATGTTGGCATATGACGGGGCCATTTTTGTGCCCATACTAGGGCCGTCTATCTGTAGTTAGTGTTTGTCATTGAAAGAGAAGTTGTTGTTCTCCAGCACTAGTTTTAGAAGTATAACAAGACACTCAGTTGGAGGATTTATGTCAACGCAATTGTTCCATACCTCTTCACACGCTGCTATTCCTTCGTCTTGTGGAATGTGTGTTAATAAAGAAGACACGTCCATGGATGCGAGTATAGTATTGTTTGGTAAAGGATTAAGGCTTTCCATTTTCTTAAAAATAATCAGTCGTAGCTTGAATCTTAATTGAAACAACGTGGTTAAACATAAAACATCAGTATGCACTTTATTCAAATAACATTATGTTAAATTTTAATAGATAATTGCTGTCTCTGTGGTTGTTTCACTGACGTTTATCCCATACGTACTTTTGAATATCGTCATACTACATAACTAGGACTAACCAAATTGCCTTAGGGTAACATATAAAATTGCTAATTACCTATTTGTTAGAACGAATTAGAAAATGTCATTTGTTGTAGGATCCGTAAAGAACAAATGTTTTAGTCGAAATAAAATACAAAAAAACTATGTAGTGTACATGATTAATTTGTGGTGTTGATACTAATACATTTATGTTTTGATATTTAAATGTGCTTTTAATGAATTTTAACATAACAACTTTTTTTTTGCTAATTCGTTTCCTGAATTTCAACAGGGATTTATTTTTTTAACCATGATTATACAGCTATTTTTCAACAGTAACGAAGATTTTTTTTATATAAAAAAGAGGTCATGTACCAAGGATATATGATGGATGACGCCTTATCATATCTTTCAACTAAAACAATAAATACACTGATTTTAAGCAACTGTGCAAAAACAGATTGGTCATTGTTATATTTCTTTTAAATTTTCAAAGTCAAAGGTTACTCAATATTCATATAATTCACACATATATATATATATATATATATATATTTTGGAATATAGCAGAAACTATTTTCATTTGAATACTTCTGAGTGCTTTTTTTTAACGAAGAGCTTTCAAAGACCACATTCTAAACTATTGTATAATAATACTTCCAATGATGAAAGGGGAAAAAACCGGGACGAATAATACTTTGAATTAATTTATTTTCGTGTGTTAACATTTTTGTAAACTGAGGACAAGTTGCGTGATCGTGGATGTTTAAATTCGTAGATTTGTCAAAGTTTGCATACAATCCTATAGAAAATTGGTACTTCGTTGAACGATTACATTTATTGTTTACCTTTATCAAATAAATCCTGAAAAATTGTAACCCCACGAATAATGATGAATCACAGTCGAAAAGAACAAAATGGTGATAAATTCAGGACACAAAACTAATACACGAGAAGTGCATTCGGTGCTCTTCTTTACCTCAAAGTTTCAGTGATAAGAATACCTGTTTTATCAGAACCCGGTCAAACAAATCTATCAAATACTGTTATAATTGCCTTTCTATGATCAAATCTGTATCATTTAAGAAACTGTTTCGTACTTACTAAATTCAGAATCACACACGTACTGATGAAGCGACGTTTTCGCACAGGAACACCCTAGTGACCCGGAAACCATTAACAATACAGTTATCACGTACAGCAGTAGCATATTTTCTTCAGATCTAGTAATAAAAAATGTTTATCTTTATTTAGTATTTATATGATGTTTTCAAGTCCTTTGTCTTTTTATTAATGTACAAATAGGGATTTTTAAAAATTAAGTTCACCCATTAATTGTATATGGAAACAAGGATTTATAACTTCCTTGTGTACATACTTCTTGTATTAGAATACTAAATAATTAATCAGAAAAGTTACCAATTCTGTGAAATGAATGTTCATTAATTATGTAGACGCTTAATAAAGGCAACAGTAGTAGATTTCCAATCAGGTAAAATATCTTAAAATTTGTGTTTCATACAAAATCAAAAGAGGTTTTGGAATAAAAGTTAACGAGACAGCAAATAAATGTTAACAGCATTCATAGTTTTTCATCGTATGACATTTGACGCTGATTTGTTTGCAACGAATTCATGTGGGTCCTACAATTAAAAACTGATAATACAATATAGGCAGTGAAACAATTTCACAAAGGTATCAATAGCCCAGTAGCTCAGTACTTCAGTGCCGGCATGAAAATACGGAATATTGTTTTATCAGAATTTGCTGTTACATTACTTCAGAAGTAATTTGAAATTATTGAGCGTATCCCCATGTTCGCTCTGTTTCCGTGTCCATGTTTGGCTATAGTTTTGACCCTTTTAGGTCAAATCAGCTCGTCGACGTTTGTATTAGAATTTTTCAAATATTTTGGGTGGAAGCATTGCTGAAAAGTTGTTTATTGGTGAAGTACGCATCATGTGCAGTAACATAGAAACCGTTTATGTTATCAAACAGTCCCGACTTAAAATCTGAAATTTGTCACTGCAATCAATATAAAAGCTATCACGAAAAACTGAGATCATTTAAACATTGACTTATATATCAGATAAAGTTGATTTAGGATGAATTTGGCTGTTTTCTTTAGGTCACGTTTGGTTATATAGCTCCTGGTGATTATTATATTTATTATCACTGGCTTTCAAATGTTTAGGTTTGAGCGTTACTCCTGGTGTTATATACAGGAAATCGTGTGAAACGCACGATCGAATTGTTATTTTCATTTTATGGCTACTGCATTTGCTAACTACTCTACTTTTTATGGGCCGTCTTTTATTTCATTTTTTTCAAGCTAGTGTGGTCATCCTGTTAGCAGCTGTACCGTGCATTTTATTTTTATGTGTATTTTACTTTTTGTTCATAGGATTGTTGTTTGTGTGGTCTGTTGTATTGTTAATTTTTTTAATTCCTGTCATCTTTTTTATGGATTGTTGGAATATATACATAACAATAGAGCCGGGTTAAATACAACCCTTTTCAAATTGACTTAGTTATTTGCAGTAACAAGAGAAAGGATAAAACGAACTGTAGATTATTTGAATACGCTCGGCATGTGCCTATAACGTCAGCAATGTGCAATCTTATAAACATTTCCTTAACATCATATATCGTCTTCATAGCGAAAGGTATACAAGAACATTGTCTTATTCTATAGTTTTTTATTTGCTTGTTTTGTCTTAGATTTTGCAATTTTTGACTGGGATATTAAGTTAGAGAATTATTTCTTAGGACGTAAAAGTGATATTTATTCTTAATCGTTTCAGTTGCACTTTCCTTTGAGAAGTTGCGATCTGACAAAACCGTATCAGTGAAAAATGGTATTATACAAAATTACAGCAAATTGAAGCTTTTTTTATGGACCATATGCTGATTTCGAAAAACAATTCAAAAACTAAATGCATGTCACCTATAAGAAGTAGCGTTGCAGAAAAATAAACTCAAGATAACACTTTTAAAACCAGTCTAGAAAATAAGTGCATTACACAATTTACATATTTCTTTCAGCTAAATATTTCCGTAGTATTTCTATCATAATATAAAAGCATGTCAGAAAAAAACACGAACTATAGAGCTTGAGATTCTCTAGGATATCTACAGTTTACAAGCAGAGGCATCGATCTGGGTTATAAAACACGTTAGAAAGTATCGACCATTACTTGGTGAACAATATGCGTTTATGCGTTCATCCTGTCAATACTGATAGTTTGACATTGCACATGGCCATGCTTTATTTAAACTGTTATAAATGACTGCGCACTGTTCCTTTGTGTTTGGTTCTGATAAGTGTGTGTAGGGATTTTGTGTCATGAATTTATCACCATATCTCTTCTTTTCTTTAACCCGTTTTTCAAAATTTTAACCCTCATCAGTTGTGGAAATATCAAAATATCAAAATATGAAACGCAATAAACACAAATTACGAAAATAGGGCTATACTATTGATAAAATAAGAAAACAAACCTTCTATAAAGTATCCAGATGTTACTAATTGTTTACATACTTTTTTCATGTCATAACATAAATCCGGTTTCCCGTTGACAAGTATATATCATTGAAAAACCACAATTAAGCGAGTGTTGGTATTGCAAGGACAACATGGCAATAACTATCTACAGGTTTCCCGTTCTTCACAACTTAAATAAGTAAATGTATTCTATACAACTTAAATAAATATATTTTTGTTGGCAGAGCTATGTTTTAAATATTTTTCTTACCTTACAAATACTCTTTTCCTATTCTAAGCCAATTTATAGTTTGTCCGATCAGTTATAAGCTCTAAATCAACAACGTGTGGCACTTTTGTTCGGAGATTTTCATTGGTCAAAATTCAACCATGACGTCAAATTGTCTTGTTTTCTTCTGATTTTGTGATTGTGGTGTCATGAAAAAATGCAGCCATGCCTGATATCGCCAAATAGAATGTAGGGATTTTTTGAAGATTATTGAACACTTTTGCACAGTGTTGAGAAAGAAAGATAAAATTATTAGAGACACAAAATCCATAGCGACTTGTACTAATTTTAAAGCTACTTCGAGTGTTATACGATATTTCTCCACTCTCGATAGGAAAATTCTTTCCAGTATGATGTCATTGATACGATTTCAGTGTCCAACGCATACACCAAACAACTATGAGCTTTATTTACGCTTCAAAATGAAATAAAATTTGACAAAAAGCTAATTTCAGATGAGAAATCTGCTGAATTTGTAATAATGGAATACATCACAAATAAAAAAATTCCGGAATTGAAAACAAAGGCTTGCCTTAGTTACAAACTGGCAAAAACCGGACGTTTACCAAGTCTCAATAGATAAATATCTTAAAATGCTCAGTAAACCTTTCAATTTACAGTTTGAAAATTTCACTATCTCGACTACCAGCTCAGTAGCCAGTATATCGGTACTGGCATTAAAATACGGATATTGTTTTAATGGACTTTGCTGTTATAAAATTGTGAGAATCATTTTAAACTATGGAATATATCTCCCTCTTGCATAACTCTGATTCCTTATCCGAATTTTGCCTTACCCTTTTTGGTTCTTTCTGGTTTTATCTGGTAAGTTTGACATGTACCATCGGGTTAAGCCAAATAATGTTACTTATGAAGTAACAAAAAACTTTGTGCCACTTGAGATGGATCAGGTTCATATATGTGCTACATTCTATAACAGAAGTGTTCTTAACTCCAGAATATTGGAACATACTATTAGTGTTCATGGCTAACAGAACAACCACATTGTTGGACCAATTAAAAGTCCCTGACTATAAACTATTTTGATGTAGATTACAAATCGAGACAAAAACTTATTTTTCCACGTTTACACGAATACTTTTTGCATATAAAACAATAGTGTTACAGGCTTTGTCTGCTGAACAACAACATATTTGTCGTGGAGAGAGAATAAAGTATCTTCAAACATAGGCTTCTTAAAAACAAACCCGTGTGCTCATTGCACGTCGTAGGTTTTATATGCGCTTCTGAATTCATGACCGAATACCTTTGATCCATTCATACAAAGTGTCCAGATTTAGTTCATAGATATACGAAGATGTGGTATACCCATTTTCTGGCAACGTCCTCAACAATATCCATCTGTAACTTATGGACGAGACGCACGTCTGGCGTATTGAATTTTAAGCCTAGTACCTTTTGTTAGCTATTATTCGTGTGTTTCTTTGTCCTATATGTTCTCCCATTTATTTGTATTGTGGTCCTGTCATGTGATGTTGTCGTTTTGGTGTTGTGTTTGACGTTGCCATTAAAGCGGGAGGTTTGGCATGCCACAAAACCAGGTTCAACCCACCATTTTTTTCTTGAAATGTCCTGTACCAAGTCAGGAAAATGGCTATTGTTATATTATAGTTCGTTTCTGTGTGTGTTACATTTTAATGTTGTGTTTTTGTTGTGTCGTTGTTCTCCTCTTATATTTGATGCGTTTCCCTCAGTTTTAGTTTGTAACCTGGATTTGTTTTTATCTCTATCGATTTATGAGTTTCGAACAGCGGTATACTACTGTTGCCTTTATTTAGAGTTCTTCTTTCAACTGGGAATTCAATATTTTTGCACATTGGCTAACAACTCTCGAAGTTGTACATGTTTACGAATTCGTACACTTTGAACAAGAATCGGAATCGGCACTTTAATTAAATTAACGGGATCCAGATTTTTCATCCGGCTTTCCATTTACTTCCTTTTCGAGTTTTTTGCCCGGGAATTTTCAATTTTTATGCTAGCATTTTCCTGAAATCGCCAATGAATAAAGCTAAGGAACCAATAAAATATGAAAAAACTTACCGAACTTATGAATTCAGAATTCCTACGAAAAAATCCCGTTTTTTATGCTACTTTTGAAGTTCTTTAGACCTTTGAATGAATAACTTTCTCTCAACTGATCAAGGTCAATATCTCTAACTGGTACTTCGAATTCGAGGTAGCAGCTCAATATAGACGCCCTGGTACTGATTTTCAAAACGTATTTCTTTCCTTTGCTTAACCAGTCTAAGGGACCTTCTCAAAAATAATTTTTATCTCTTGATGATCAGCTTGCCTTAAGAGGTTCAAAAAGGGAAAATATAAACAAACTGATTATGAAATAATAAAATATAAGCTTTTGTAATTATTATTAAATCTAAATTTTGCAGATGTCTAATGAATATTATCAAAAACAGAAAACAGAAATACAAGCTGAAAAAACAAAAAAAAACAAACAACGGACGGACGGAGAAAAGGTAATACATTATATTGAAGAGGGTCCACTTAGATCCACATACAGCAAGAGGGGGCAGAGTCTGATATTCGCAGTAAGTTGAAGAAAGAAAAAAAATATGATAATAGACAATACGAAATAGACTTATTGATTGAGGCCCCATGGTGACTTCACGATGAAGAATAAACGCATTGTACCATTGTTACCTTTATCATTTGTCAATTGGGATTTTCTCCATATCCTTTAATTTTCATTTAATGCATAAATTATGTATTTTCGTAATTAAAAAAAAAAATTCACCATTTCAAAATAAATATGAAAACCAATGAAAGTGTTTCTCGCTTGTTGTGTCCAATGTTTGTCTCATGATGTACTCAATAATCTTGCATTTCCTTGTGTTGTAGAATACAGAAAACCTTTTTTTCAGACAAAGGAAATAGAATTGCAAACTCATTGCAAGGTGGAGATGACATTGTGCCCAACTTGGGGAAATGGGAAGGTGTGTTCAAACAAGACCACACTTGAAAATGAAATTAAACAACATGTCAATAATGCTGGAGATGCAGGTGCAGCAACAATGTAACATGCTGAAATTATAACCAATGCTGATGATGTTGCACCTGCATCTCCAAGGAGAATTCATCGTACTGTTAGAGCATATCTGGTCCAACCCAAACCAAAGGCGAACAAAAAATCTAAAGTCAAAGAGATTTGCAGGATATGTGGGTAATCTAGCCCAAAATTAATTTGGCTAGGTTGCTCATTCAGACACCCAAAGTCAAAGAGACAAGATTGTACCTACTAAGTGCACCAGAATTGCATTAACTTGTGAAAAAGTGAAAGGAACCTAGAAAACATGCAAATGTACACAGCAAGAAGAATTGAAAACCTATACAAATATTTTAGTATACACCTCAACAAAATTTTGGCAACACTTCCTAATTAGTAAAAGTTTTTAGAACATTTTAAAAAATATGAGAGACATAATAATAAATGAAGATTTCTTTTAAGATAAAGAACCATTTGCATATTAAAATCTTTCACCCAGTATTTGTTGAGGTGTATATATAAAATCATTCTATGTAATACATACTGAATTTTTTACTTTTTAAGATTTCTAAATTTTAATCCAAATAATATATTAAAAGCCAAGCTTATATAGTGGGCTTTTGGTGAGGTATCATACTTTTTTACATAGTTAATGTTTACTTTTAAAGATTTATAACTTTTATTCAAAATAATAAATTTTAAGTCACACTTTAAAGTGAATGTAAGCTATACATTTACATAAACTACTCTGAAGATTGCCAATATTTTGTTATAATGAACTGTAATATGAAAAAAAGATGTGGTATGATTGCCAACTATCCAACAAAGTTCAAATAAAGTGGATGTAAGCAATTATAGGCAACCGTACGGCCTTCAACAACGAGAAAAACCCATACCGTATAGTCGGCTTTAAAAGGCCCCGAAAAGACAAATATGAAACATTTCAATTGAGAAAACTAACGATCTTATTTATTAAAAAAACAATTTACGGAAAACAAATATGACAGACGTGAACCAACGACAACCACTGAACTACAGGCATGGGACAGGCACATAAAGAATGTGACGGGATTAAACATGTTTGTGAGCGCTCAACCATCCCCTTAACCTGGGACAGTGGTGTAACTGCATTACATAAGAACAAACTATGAAAATCAGTTGAAAAAGGCTTAACTCATCAGATCGATACGAAGAAAAACATTAAACAAAAACACAGACAGGACGTGGCAGGGTATATATATCCATCCCTCATCCCTTACAACAAAAAAGACACTAAATACAGATCTGACGGTACTCGCAGTTACTGACAGCTAGTTCAAAGCCAATAACAACCAATAAAAAAAAATCATGTATCTAAGACTAAAATATCAATCAGTACACATCCAACATGCAATGGATTTAGTGTAAAGACGTCATTAACAGTCAGAGAAAAACATGACCTTGTGCAATGCCAAAATATATGTATCGACAGATTGTAGTACCGTGAAGGTACATACGTGTAATATTTAGTATGGTTTTAACTAAGTGATAACAAAATCAATATTTATACCAATAAAAACAACATTCAAAGATTTAATTACAGTGTTGAATAGGTAACCTTTTAGAATAGATTTATTTAACAGATTGATAAGTTTACCCGGATCGTACATAAATTTCCGGGCTCGGTTAACTAAATCACTATAAAATTTAGGATGTGCTATTCCGTTTGAAATAAGCTTTCTACAGGTACAGCCAAACTTGCAAACCAAATCTTTGTATCTATGGAAGAATTTAGTAAAGG